ACTGGCTGTGAAAAGAATGAATATGGAACGGCTGATGATGTAAAAGATTTTGTAGCCCATGAGAAGAAGCACATAATGAACTGAGTTTCAAAAAATAAAAATGTGTTAAGACTGTTGGGAATACAGAGGGATAAACAAAGGATCTCTGCTGGTAGTAGAAAAACAAGCATTCACAGAGGTGACAGGAGAGTTGGGACATCAAGGGTGTGGAAGATTTCTTCAAGGGGTGGAGGCTGAAGGGTTCTGGGTAGCAGGACCCCGTGGGCAAGTATACAGAGACAGGAAAGAGCCTTAGCTCCGCGGTAACTAAGTACTTACAGGCTCCGTGTGGGGCTCCCACAGCACCGTCAGAACCTTAATCTGCAGAGATTCTGAAACCCATCCCTGCCATGCCCATGAGTTTAGATGATTCTTCTTTCAAGAGGAATAGGAACCTCTTAGGTTTTAAAACCTAAGGGGTTAAAAAAAATAGAGCTTTAAAAAATTAATTTATTTTTTAAAGGAAAGGGGAGCAACGTCACCAACCTTGTGTTATGGGACAGTGACTCTGAGGCTCCTGTGTGAAAGGAGCTGGAGAGGAAAAAATTAGGATTTTTTCAGGCTTGCAATTAGGAAAGTGAGGCTCCAGACCACCTGAGACAATTGCAGGGCGATAAAAAGCAAAGAACATATTGAATGAGTAGAGTATTTTTATACATCTAGGAATTTTTTTAAAAAGACTTTATAGAAGCCACAAATTAGATATAATTCACGTATATTTTCTTTTTTTAAAGATTTATTTATTTATTTTAGAGACATACAGAGAGTGAGGGAGAGCATGAGTGGGAGGAGGGGCATAAGCAGAGGGAGAGAGAAAATATCCAGCAGATTCTCCACTGAGCACAGAGCAGGGCTCGATCCCAGGATGCTGAGATCATGACCTGACCCAAAATCAGGAGTCAGACACTTAACCAACTGAGCCACACAGGTGCCCCATAATCCACTTATATTTTCAACATATTTCTACCAAGTTTTTTTTTTTTTAATACCTCAAATGTTAAAAAGTGCAAGGGATATAGAATGATCATGCTGGAGGGAGCATTTACCAGAACAAATAGTTATGTAACACATTGCTTTTTATGGTTGAGTACCTGGTATATGGTATGTACCACTGAACATTTGTTGATTGAAAGAAGAAATTAATCAATCAGCAAGTTAATGTCTACTTGGGTAGAAATTGTGAGTTAAGGCTCAGTTCAATTCCAACCTCTCTACCATTTTTTTTTAAGATTTCATTTATTTATTTGACAGACAGAGATCACAAGTAGGCAGAGAGGCAGGCAGAGAGAGATGGGGAAGCAGGCACCCTGCTGAGCACAGAGCCTGATGTGAGGCTCCATCGTAGACCCTGGGATCATGACCTGAGCCGAAGGCAGAGGCTTTAACCCACTGAGCCACCCAGGCGTCCCAACCTCTCTACCATTTTATATGAGCCCATTCTTGTTGAAAATAAAGGACATCCTCATATTAAAAAACAAAAACAAAAACAAAACCCCTGAAATCCTATCATATTACAACTGTGAATTTACAAAATGCAACTAATTTTTTAATATATTTTTACATATATATACAAGTAAAAATTCTATCTAAATTGGTTCTCATATTAACTCTCAAATATTTAGGTATTTTAGTGAAACCCTGATTTAGTTGCAGTTTATATCAAATGGGCTTCTCCTAAAAACTGTTCTTTCTAGATGATATTTCTATAACTCTCAGTGTTCACTTTTTCTGTGCCTTGGTATTCTATAAATGCATGCATATATATGATATTAACTTATATCTTATACATATATAGTGACTGCTTAGATTCAGAATTTAACTATTACTATAAAATAACTTTTTTAGTAGTAGCTGTATTATTAAAAACTACATGAATTAACTTACTACCATTCAGAACAGTGTTACATGGAAAACTTAAGTAGTTCAGTATTCTCCATTGCATATTGTACACGCTGTCTCCAACTAGATGTAAAAGAATGCTTTCTCGTTGAGTTACATTCTCTCTGCACTTCAGCATTTGGAGTGGTTGCATTGTCACCCTGAATTTGGGTGATAAGAGAATACATCTCAAGATGACTGCTAGGTACAAGCAGACTACTCCAGTTTTTGTGATTATATTGTTTCCTTGTTACACACTGAACATGTTCCCAGGTGTAACCTCCTGCTCCCACCTCTTGGGGACTGAGTGTTTAATAGGATCAGGAACTGCCGTGCTATCCAAGCCCTGCAGACGGTAGTATTTTGAGACTTACATGCTCCAGATGATCAACTGAGTCTTTCCAATGGAGGGAATCTCCGTCCTTTGCATTAGTTTGTAAAATGTCAGGGAGCATCTGGCAAAACACGCTGATATAATGATGTTTGTTTCCTTGTCAACACCTATAGAGGCACTTCTAAGAGCTCTCAAATTAGATATGGCTCTTAGTGAATAACCTTTTCACTAAACTGAAGATAATTTCTACTATAACTGAGTGGACATTCATTTTTTTAAAGATTTTATTAAAGTTCTATTAGTTAACTCACAGTGTAATATTAGTTTCAGGTGTACAATATAGTAAGTCAAGACTTCCATACAGCACCTGATACTTATCACAAGTGTCCTCCTTAACCCCCATCACCTATTTCACCCATCCCCCTGTCCACTTCCCCTCTGGTAATCATTAGTTTGTTCTCTACAGTTAAGAGTCAGTTTCTTGGTTTACCTCTCTCTTTTGTCCCTTATGCTCATTTGTTCCTTAAATTCCACACCTGTGTGAAATCATATGATGATTGTCTTCCCGTGACTGACTTATTTGGCCTAGAATTATACTTGTTAACTCATCCATGTCATTGCAAATGGCAAGATTTCATTTTTATAGTTGAGTAATATTCCCGTGTGTGCGCATGTGCGTGCATGCGTACATGCGTGTGTGTGTGTGTGTGTGAGAGAGAGAAAACTTCTTTACCCATTCATCAGTTGATGGATTTTCAGCTGTTTTCATTTGGCTATTGTAGATAATGCTGCTATAAACATATGCTCAATAAGGACACAGATGAATAATACAGCATCTTCCCTTTTACATTTTTGTTTTAATATTAATATGAACATTAACCAAGTATACAGAAAAATAGTTTCCTCCAAAAGTAGTTTTAAATGTTGTATGTTAATATTTTTTTTAAATTTAAACTCAAAAATTTAAAGAGTGAATTAAGAAATATTGCCTATCTTATTCATTTTTGTTTTTCTTATTAAGCATAGGTGAGAGTTAGGTTAAAGTTTATTGAATTTGTCACTAAACATTTCTTAGCAGACATAATACCTTTTTCTTCAAATATATCCTTAAAGAAGAACAACTCACAACTTTTTAACTACAACATTTATACTTAGGATTGGGTAATTATTTAATATTTGTAGACTTTGCCGATATAGCACATGTGCAATGCAGTGATAGTAATGATATAGGTCAAATCAGAAAAATCACTGTGTGACAGAAAGGAGGAAAGAAGAGAAGTTAGTTTTGCAACACTTCATTCCTATAGCAAAAAGGAGAACATACTTTTGATGGGTATCCAATATAGGTCCTTAATGCCTATTTGTCAAATAATTATTAATGATGTTGCAAATATTGATAATGATGATCATGATGGTGATAGTGGATGATAAGGAATTTTATCAGTCTTGACATCTCAGAAATGTGTGCCTACTTTCCTTTTAGAAGTTTCCTTTCCTGGGAAAGACTGTTGAAATAAAACCTATCATTCATGATTTGAAATAGCTAGAATTCACCAAAGCATTCTTAAGATTAAAACATTTGGTATTGAATGTCTACTCAATGCCATTTGATATTGAATGTCTATTGAAAGTTATCATTTTTAAATTTCTTTTTTTACTAACCTGACAGACAAAATGGTAGGGGGGAAGAGATGTTTCATTCTCTTAGTTTACAAGTAAACCTTTAAGATTGAGTTCATTCCAGTTTTGTACCACCTGAAGTGTAAAGCCTGAATGAATAATTGACTGGAAAGGAGAAATCCTTTGTTCCCAAAATTAAGCAGTCACTTTGAGTGCCTCTAAGAATAGGAGCATTCTGTCCATTTTCTAAGTTTGGGTGTACATATCCCTCCCTTTGTGCTCAGTAGAGATTTCCTTCTAACCATTAGCAACATATTGATTTTATTTATATTGAACTTGATAATTTTGATTTTACTTTGTTCTCAATTCAGTATAGTAATGCTGAGCAGGATATGAAGATATAGTCAAAAAGGTCTTAGAGAAAGACTTAACTATGACCATGAATATATAAGACAAAAATACAAGAAAAATCTCCTTTTAACTTCTCTTAGTGAAAACATGAGAAAAGATACAGAGAATTTGAATTGCCTTTAATGTTTTCTTATGTCACTGAATCCTTAGGTTAATTCAGTCTTGAGACCTAGAGGTGTTCTTGTAGCTATAATTGCAATTATTTTTGGATCCTCAATTTCTCAGATATTCTGTCCTAATTAAAATCTTCCTAACAGTAGTATGTAGTTGTTGATTTTTAAATAACAATGCAAGTTACAGCCTCTAAAGTTCAGTAAACCTTCAAACCTTTTAGCTTCTCTATTGATAACCCTATCATGCAATTAAAGCATCTATAGTAAGCAGATGAGCTAATGTAAGCAGTGTCATGTTTCTTTTGGTGTATAAATCAATAAAGCTGTCATGATGACTTTCAGTTCAATCATCTAGCTACTGGAAATGAACACAGCTTTTAAAATAGATTTTTAAATATGTATCATTTGCACTAACAGCTATATCGTTGCCCAACATTTTGGTTATAATAGTTACATCATTCTCAGTGGCATCATATATACACAGAATCATTGAGTAATGCCAAATTTAAAAAAAAAATGGAGTCCATCAGATTAAAAAAAAAAAAAAACATGACCTTGAGCTCTAAAAAACAAATATGCTAGAGTCACACTGTCTTATTTTCCAGGTGCATATGTGCTCCAGGTCAAGGCCACAGACGCGGATGACCCGACCTATGGAAACAGTGCCAGAGTCGTTTATAGCATTCTTCAGGGACAACCTTATTTCTCTATTGATCCCAAGACAGGTAAATTTTTTATTAGAGACAACATTATCACCACCCCTTTCAAATATTTAAATGTTAATTAAATCTTGGCATGGGAAGTTACCTATTCTAAAAATGCAGTAAAGATTCAGTGTGCTGTACATTACACAAAGGAAGATAGGATCTTACCTTATGACAGCAGAACCATTTCATCTGGATGGAACCCTGCATAAATGTACACCATTTCACATGTATGTGTTAAGTCCCAACCCCAAGTTAGAGATTACCTGGATGTTTTACTTTAGATTTTCAAAAAGCCTGGTCATATTTTTTCTTTTTGATTCTTCTGGATAAAATAACTTTACATTTCAGATTTCCTTGTTTGGGTTTAATTTTAGGCAGTTTGGGGCCTTAATGACATGTGGTAAGACCCTGGGGCCTCTATTGCTGTCTTTTTGTTTTGTTTTTTTTTCCTAAGATTTTATTTATTTGACAGACGGAGATCACAAGCAGGCAGAGAAGCAGGCAGAGAGAGGAGGAAGCAGGCTCCCCGCTGAGCAGAGAGCCCAATGCATGGCCTGATCCCAGGACCCTGGGATCATGACCTGAGCTGAAAGCAGAGGCTTTAGCCCACTGAGTCACCCAGGTGCCCCTATTGCTGTATTTATCAAGGGCTATGGATAATTGATTTGGATTTGCATTAATAGAGACGTAGCTTCCAGCAGAGGGGAGAAGAGGGTTGACAACCTCAGAACACCTGCATCACTAATTCTTCTGGGTTATGCTTTTGAAGCTGGTCTAATTTTTAAGTCAGAACATTTGAATGGCACTTTTCAGAGCCAAATATATAAGAATCTTTGGAAAATATAGATAGGGCAGGATACTATGCACATAGAAAACTTTCTCTTCCCTTAGAGCCGGTCCACCTGGTCTAGAGAATCTGTTTTTTTTTTTTTTTTTTTTTTTTTTTTAACGCTAGATAGTTTTTAAAGAGATCTGACCATGCTGACCATCAAAATAGGTATTCCATGTCACAGTTAAAACAGAACTCCACAATGATAGCTATTTTATAAACTATTACATGGCACATATATTGCAGATTGAATTCAATACTAGCTATTACATTAGGTTGCAATAATGAAATACATTGTTAATGTACTAATGTTACTTTTTAAATTGGTAAGTAAATTTTAAAGAGCATTATCAATTTGAAAAGTCTTCATTTCAGACACTATGTATTCAAATAGGCTTAACATTTCAAAATTAACACTTCCCCATAAGTATTTGCTAAAATCTGGAATACCAATTAGATATGGGTTAATTAATAATTAGCCATGTTTTAATGTCACCTAGAAACAGAAAGTCAATTAATTAGGAATAGAGAACCTGCAAGAACTTTCTGCAAATGAACCTGCTATTCTCTCATTTCCGAATCTTCTCATTAAGCCCATAGAGGGAGAGAAATCAGCAAAAAGTTATGGGAATAAGGCAGGAAGTTGGTCCCTTTTGTAAACCTAAAAAAAAAAAAAAAAAAAAGAGTAGCTTTTAATAAGGACAGCATCAGTCCTTTAAGAAGGGACTCTAGAAATGTTTGTTTAGGACATATAAGCTCTTTTGGTTTGGAAAGAGGGTAAGAAACCAAAAGTCAGAATGTCAAATGTTAAGCCCGAGTGTGTGATGGGGAAGTTACACCTACAATATGAAGTATTTTTAAGAAATATCGGGACGCCTGGGTGGCTCAGTTGGTTAAGCAGCTGCCTTCGGCTCAGGTCATGATCCCAGCGTCCTGGGATCGAGTCCCACATCGGGCTCCTTGCTCATCAGGGAGCCTGCTTCTCCCTCTGCCTCTGCCTGCCATTCTGTCTGCCTGTGCTCGCTCTCTCTCCCTCTCTCTCTCTGACAAATAAATAAATAAAAAAAAAAAAAAAAAAAAAAAAAAAAAAAAAAAAAAAAAAAAAAGAAATATGGCAATGGGGATAAGATATTTGGCAGTATCGATGTTAAGGAACTTCTATGGTTGCTGCTTAACTGTGGGAAATCATATATATTTGTAGGGAAAAATTGTTGAAGGAAGAATTGGGGGAAGTTGTTCAATGACATTTATGATGGTACAAAACTCCGGAAGAATGAAGAAGGATTAGACAACAGGCTGAATATATAAACAAATATTGAAGGGAAATTATATAAACTAAAATAAATCCTTTTTATCAGATGATAAAATTATGGGTTACTTCTTCTTCTATAATTACCCATCTTTTCCAAATTTCACATACTGGGTAATCTAACTAGAAACAGAATTAAAAGCAGTATATGTGTCTTACATCTCTTCAGCCTCTGAGAAGCACTCCTGAAAGTCAGAGGGGATGGGAAAAAGAAAAAGGAGGGTGTGCCGAGATTGGTGGAGGGGAGCTGGGTATTAGAGTACACTCAGCAGGTTGTAGTGATTAATTCTACAGAACAGGTGAGTTTATATAAACTCAGAATAACATGACAGAAGAAAGATGAAGGGATTAATATTGATGAAATAACTATAGATATAGTCAGTATCTAACTGAACGGTGAGAGAAAATTATACAAAAATGAATTTAAGCATAGACCATAGATTAAGAATAAATTAGTTACAGTCGAATTAATACCAGACAGACAATAATTTTTGAGTCAAAACACTTTCTGTCCCTTTGGCTTTACTTGTTCAATATCAACTTCAGATTAATTCTAATGCCTTTAGAAAGTATTATCTTACAGGAGAATGTGTATATTCATAGTATGCCTTTAATAACTATGTATTTATATTTTATGTAATGCAGATTATTTAGAACTAAAGGTGAAACAATTCTGGCATAAACAATGAAATAGATTTTTTGAGGCATTGATTTTCACTGGAGACAGAAGTCTTGATACTAACAATGCCTCAGACCACTAGACAGGAAAAGAGTGGATGAGGAGGCACTTCATTAATAGAATGATAACTAGTTCCTCATGCACAGAGACCATTAAGAAGACTTTTTGTCAAATTTATCACCTTGTGGTACATAAGAGTAAATCAAAAATCAAGGATAATTGCAATTTCTCAGAAATAGTCTCCATTTGTTCCAGCCATATAGCTTCCTTTTGTGATTCCTTTTGCTGTTATGAGATAAAATGCATGAAAAACTAATATTATCTAAAATTTTCCACATCTGAGTGTAGAATACACTTTAAAATAATTTTTAGAAGAAGAATCTCATCAGAATTTCTTGTGCCTAAATATTTATGAAGAGATAAATATAACCATTTATTATCCATTTAGAATGAGAAAATATAAGACATTTCCTTAGTGATACTGCTTTTTGACAAATATTCCTAGCATCTCTACCCAAGTGAATATAGGAGGCTTATTTATAAGGAATATAAATTGAAGCATTCTATGAAATAAGGTTGGAAATAATTGTTCTCTTTAAAATTGGTTAATTTGGCAATTATCCAGCTTAACTATGAAATTATTTACTGTGAATTAAAATTCACATACATTTGTGTGTGCGTGTGTATACACACACATATATAATTACTTCAAGTTATTATTAAATATTTTTAAAAACCTCAAGTGTGATGAATCTATGACACTTTTTAAAGATCTATTTATTTATTTGGAAGAGAGTGTGCATGAGAGAGGGGCGATGGGTGGAGGTAGAGAAACTCTCAAGCAGATTCCCCAGTGAGCACACAACCTTGAGATCATGACCCAAGCTGAAATCAAGAATCGAGCAGAGAGAGTCAAGTCAATGCTCCACTTACTTGTGGAGCATAAGGAATAACACGGAGGACAGTAGGAGAAAGAGAGGAGAAGTGAGTTGGAGGAAATTAGAGGGGAAGACAAACCATGAAAGACTGTGGACTCTGAGAAACAAACTGAGGGTTTTAGAGGGAATGTGGGTGAGGGGTTGGGTGAGCCTTCTGGTGGGTATTAAGGAGGGCATGTATTGTATGGGGCATGGGTGTAATGCATAAACAATGAATATTGGAATGCTGAAAAATAAAGTTTTAAAAAAAAGTCAGATATTTAACCAACTAAGCCACCCAGGTGCCCCAAATCTATGACATTAAATAAAGTTTATATTCACTATACTTATTATTTATAAAACATTAAAGTGTTATATTAGCATATTATATTCTGTATATTTTTATACTTAATGTTTTTATGCATTAGAAAAACATTTATAACCTAAAAAAATTAAACATAGGTATTACAATATTTTCTAATATTTTATCTAGTGCATAAAATCAGGATGTTAAATATCTCTATAACATTGATAATAGAATTATTTAGGAAAACAAATATTACTATAAAAGATTGACCTCATGTCTTAATTTATGTTCAAAATTTATGTTCAAAATTCTTTTACAATATTTAAATTGTTCCCTAAATTATTTAAATGATTAAATGATTTAAAAAACTAGTCTGAGATGGGTAACTAGGTATGTATCATGTGCTGATGATATGTACCATTTTTCCAAATAATCTGACCCCTTATTGAGAGAGCATCATTATTTATTTTACCTCAACATTTTTTAAACCTATAAACTTTAAATGATTTTTTGTGATAAAATATACCTAACATAAAATTTACCATATTAACCATTTTAAACGAACAGTGTAGTGGCATTAAGCACATTCATATTGATGGGACACATGGGTGGCTCAGTTGGTTAAGCATCTGCCTTACACTCATGTCATGATCCCAGAGTCCTGGTATTGAGTCCCACGTCGGGCTCCTTGCTCAGCGGGGAGTCTGTTTCTCCTTCTGCCTGCTGCTTCCCTGCTTGTGCTATCTATCTCTCTCTGTCAAAAAAGTGAATAAAATCTTTAAAAAAAATCACATTTTTCTACAACTACCACTGCTATCCATCTCCAGAAGTTTTTCATCAATATCTTTTCATTTATGTATATTATCAAAAACAACATATAAGTTTTTTTCTATTTTAGGCATTTATATATGCCTTTATAGAATCCATATGAAAACAATTGAATGAGGCTAGAGTTGAATGCACAAGCTGCATTTTTT